GTGCATGTACAATTTTTTAGTCCCTATTTTGAAAATCTCCGTTATAATAAGGAGGTGTCTAAGTTAGTCAGGTAATTAGAGCTGAGTAAAGGTGAAAATAATAATATTTAATAATAAACATCAAAATGACAACAAATAGAATATTTTAAGAACAATGTAAATATTTCAGGAATAAATCTAACATTTCTTAAATGTAAATTAAATAGTAAAATAGTAAAAGAATAAAATAAATTTCATTTTTTTGTATCATTTTACTATGCCTATTAGAACTTATTACTTTGAAATACAAAGACAAATTTTCAACATACGGATATAAAATAAGTCAATTATATTCGAAGTAAATAATATATATATATAATCGTATTACGAATTTTACTAAAATATCAATTTATAGTCTACTTTAAATTTATCATTACCACCAAAAAACATTTTCAATGCAATGGTTATTATAAAATTAAAAGTCCAATATTCTGTATAGTTTTATCAAAGAATACAAATAAATTACTTTTACTTTAACTTTGCTAGAATTACTTGCAACATCTTATACACGTAATACTATAGTAATTATTTTATTTCCGACAGTTGCTTTTTAAAATAAGAATTTAAGATATCAAGTATCTTCTTAGTACGCGGTCATTTTAAAGAAAATTATACTTTTATTTCTATGACAATGGTAACGAAACCGTAATTCCGAATGCAGCATTCAAAAATTTACTTCCACGCAAATAGTGTTTTATTCTAAGAATAATGGGGATCAAATATGGAAATATCTTGTTTACTACTTGCACTACGTGAAAGGCATGTTATACTCAGCTCTTATCATCAATAACTTACGTTTCTCGAAAGGATGTAGCGCAACTTGAATGACCTCCGGGAGGATCCACCGCATTGCGGTGTTTAGTCGACACGATAGTTACGCCACTGCAAAGGAGACAACCGCATGTGTACGTAAATACGTTCGTACGTATGTGTATTTACGGTCGTGGCGTATCGCGTATCGAGTCGCCGCCGTCGCCGCCATTCGAGCGGTTAGCGCCTGCGTACATCTTGTTTACAACTGCGGAGCTTACCATACACATGACCTTTACAAGATGGACATGAGCGCCTATTTAGCTGTCTATGCGTGCGACGGAAAAAAGTTCAAAATACGTGCGTGTTGTTCGTGAACGGTGCTGTGTACAGGAGAAAACGTAGAGTCAAGTGAACATCAGTTCGGTTATTATGAAAAACAGTCAAGCCACAGGTCGTGATCACAAGTGACGCGGTATTTGTCGTTCGCACGCGGGCGGAAAGGGGGAAGAGAGGGATGGTGGGTACGAAAGGAGACCCAAATTTTTCACATCAAGCAGATGTAATTATCATGAACGGATTTTCCGTGTGTACGATCGGGGATTCGTGTTCAGGGCGAAACGTGCACGTTGCTGCGGACTCGTTAACTACACCGTGAACTCCATTTGTGTGTTCTTCCCGTAAAGTGTTCGGTATGTAGGGGTGTGGGAAGAGGAGTGCGTGTTCTCTCACATCGACCTGGAATGTCGCCGTGTTTTGATGTGCCTACCCATTGCGCATAAAAAAAATCCTCCTGCCCTTGACAATAGCCTATTTATCTGGAGCATACCGCCTTTACACCGCGCCAACCAACGATAATAAGGGTTCAACCACCCACCTGCGTGTGCGTCGCCTGCGTATCCCTCTCTTTCTCTACCTCTCTACGTATTTCTTCTAAACGTACTCGCAAACGAGCAAACAAACGAGTGGCCAGGAACGCGCGCGCGCGCGCTCGCGCGCACGTTTCCGCGTGTGTTGTGTACACGTGAACACGCCCGCGTGTGTCTGTCTCTTTCTCTCTCTCTTTTGTATCGTCGTCGTGTGTACAACCGTTTCTTTATATGTGGCTCGCTCGCTCGCTCGCCTGTGTGTACGTATACGCGCCAACCATTGTGGACCACGCAGTAAATTGTGTTATTCGACGCGATAAACAGGTGCACGAGCCTTGTAGCCCAGAAAAACAATTCTCGGAGGTTCAACCGTTTACCTGATAAAGAATATTCAGCTGACTGTAAAATACACGTAAACGGTAGCAAATATTTTTTTCACCTTAAACCGGGGACCGATTCGCTTTAGAGTACCAGAGCCCACGAATCGCTGGCGGGCTAAATTAGAGGAAAACGTGTGTGACAGGTGGAACACGGACCTTCGATGAACCACCATCGCGGAGAACCCGTAGGTAAATACATGGCTCGTGTTTCCCGACGGTCCGATGTACAATCGTTCACGATATTCGACGTATAAGCTGGCAGCTCCTTAAATTCCCAATCTTGGAAAACATACCGATTAATCGGTGGACACGTCTTCGCCCTTAGCACGATTATTGCGACGCCCTTAGTACACGTTGGGTACACATGCACCGTGGTGGCGTGTTATTGCTTATTTACCCCCGACACGTGCTTCCACCGTTAGCGTGCTTCGAGTACAACGATATCGACGACAACCTTTCCACGATAAAAGCAGGACGAACGACACGTTGTACGAAATAAAACAATACGATACAGAGTTTACGAGAGTTTTCTTTTTTTTTCTCTTTCTTTTTCAATGAAAGACCATTTCTCGAATTCCCGTCATGTGCGTGAAAGTGACGAAACGTCGCTGGATGGACTCGGATATTTTCGCTGTGTCTCTCAAGCAATAATCGTCCAGAACGGAAGTGTTTTCCCCGCACGATCTCCTTCGACAACGTGGATGGAGGCATACGTTCTGTTACGATGAACCGTCAGGGTATCATGTTCTGGCACAGGATGCGTATAACGAATTGATTATTAACGGCGCACCGTACCATGCGAATGGTACAAAATAGTGTCATTTGAGGACTCGCAAGATTCTTCGCAACGACGGCCTTTTTGATCGTTACCGCGGCGATGTCTTCGGGCAGGGGTTTAGTCTCCCCTTCAGGAGGCCCCATTGTTCGCAGCGGACACGTAAAGAAACTGAAAACCCAAAAGAAGAAGTACTTCGTTCTGCGAGGCGAGGCGCCGGGATTCCCCGCCTGTCTCGAATATTACGATAGCAAAAAGAAGTTCGACAACAGGCATCCGCCGAAGCGTAGCATCTTGCTAGACAGCTGCTTTAATATCAATAAACGCGTGGACACCAAACATAAGCACGTTATCGCGTTGTACACGAAAGACGAATGCTTTTGCCTGATCCTTGAGAACGAGAAAGAGCTGAATGATTGGCTGAAGGAGATGCTTTTACTTCAGAGCGGAGATGTACCCGATGGAGAGCAACCTCGGCCTATATTTGGTAATGCGCTATTACGGTTTGAATTAGAATTAGACCGCATACTGGAGACGAACGTTTCACGCACAGAAAAACTCGTTGGTATTTTCAGTTCGAACGGGTACAACGATGTTTCAGAATATGATCGATGTTTTGAGGTTTTTGGGTTTGTTTACCTGTTTTTGAAATCGACCGCGGAATTACGGTAAAGAGATCGAGGAGTAAAATAAAAGACGGTGTTTCTATCAATAAATGCGATAAATTTTCTTAGACAATGTCTTTTTGTTTTGTTACAATACTTGTTTGGGAATATTGATATGGTTTAACTGCAAATTACACATTCTTAGGCAGGTGCTTAGGAACGTTAATATTTTTATATATTTAATAATGTACATTGGTAATTGTTTTTGGAAGTAATTGTTGTTGAATATTGTTAAATATTTGCACATTAATTACGCAGTTTATAAATCTATTTTATGTACAAGTGCAATTATGGATGAAATTTAGGGAACAAAGTAATTATGATAGATTGTAACATGTTTTTTTTTATTATCCCGATAGAAAATTGTTTAAAAAACGTTCAAAAAATATATACTTTTTATTATGAAAGAGTGGAAAGAGAATTTCAAAATTAGTTTATGTTATCTATAAATATAAATACATTTTTGGTACTGCTACATTTATAAAAATATTCTATAACAGGGAAATATATCTATAATAAAAGAAATAAAGAATATAATTGGTTTCACAGCACTATGTTATATATTATCAATTATAGTGAGATCTAAACGTAACATTCTATTTCAGAACATGTATGGCAAGTTACAATGCAGAAAAAAGGACTTGGCGAACGAAAGAATATTCATGGTCCCTATAGGCTGTGTTTAACTGATCGAATATTAAGTCTGGTGAAAATTGGGGAAACGGATAGTTCGGATTCTCTTGACTTTCCTGTAAGCTCACTATCTTAATAAATGACATAGTCTGAGATTTATGAAGGAAACCTTTTTAATTTAAGAATCATCGGTAACAGTATATTTTTATTTCATAGCTGGTTTGCATCAGACGATGCGGGCGTATGGATCGTATCTTCTATATGGAAGTAGGTCGTTCAGCAGTCACTGGTGGTGGAGAGTTATGGATGGAAGCTGAAGACAGCAACATAACAAATAATATGCATGATGCTATCGTGAATGCTATGAGTAGTTCTAGAAACAACAAAGATGATGTGGGACCACAGCAAAGGACACGTAGCTATACTGCGACTGAGGCCAGCAAACCAATCTTTGTCTTGCAATGTCGTCATGCTGGGCAAAAATTTCATAATTTTTCACCGCTTGGTAAGTTTTAACGTTAAGGAATGTTTCACATATTTTGACGTATCAGTTATGGTCTACTGTAATAATTCCTTATCACACAAATGTTAACTATAAAAGTACTCTTTCAGTTATGTAAATAAGTTTATTGCATTCTTTTCCAAACACTTAACATTTAATGCAGAAGCATCACTGTACAGACAGAAATCATCCCCATACAAATTCCTTCTTAAATCCATGTGTAAGTTGTTACCCGAGACATTGGTTTTTGCAAACTATACCATAACTGCACTATATTATATGCTTCAAATATTTCGATTGAAACGCAATATGTACGATTAGAAAGTCATCTTCAGAATAACACATATGGGTTACGGGTATTACAGAGGAACAGAAGACCCACAAGGAGCAGGTGGAACCAGTTCAGGAACAGGAGCAGTCTAATCAGACTCAGAGTACCTCTTCTAGCAATACAGTCACGGGTCTGTTTCCTGTCATTGTAGTTGTATTGCTTTATCTTCTTGTGCGGGCATTAAAAGGGTGACAAATATATACTCGCAATTCAGGATAATTAGATTTTTCAGAAAGACATTATTTTATTAACTTATTCATGTGTTAGTCAGAGAATTAATATATATTGGTGCTTATGAAGTATTATCGTGGTTTCCGGCAGATTTTGTCATTCGTTTCTTCACTTCTGATCAAATAATGAAGTTTTAATTTTGTCAAATAATTAATGAAACATTTAGAATTCACGTAAAGTGAATTTGAATTTTCATATTTAGATATTTAATTAATTCATTCTTATATTAATATGCATTGAAAGTAATTTCATGACTGCATAAGATAATCACAGATGATGTTGTAATAGACCAATTCTGTGACTAAACTTACAGGACTTTATCGATTATCTCGTGTACGCGAAAGTTTCTAGTATTGCACAATATGATTCAATATTATTTACGTGAAATATACGTGCTAAGGATATTACGTAGAACAGAGTTATGACTTCTACACATTTTAGGAAATAAGATGTTCTGATTCGTTAGAAATCAATATTATTTGTTGCTGTAAAAAGATGTAGAAAACATCTTTGTTCTCGGAATTAATACCATCCTAGTTCTCCTTTTGCTGAAGATATTTATCGAATTTTAGTCGTTATTAACATCGCGAAAGTGAAATTTTATATAAATCAATATATAAAAAGAAAGAAGTAGTTGTATGCAAGTGAGAGCTGTATGGTTTGCAGCCGTTGCTGGTACCGGGGCTGGAACTGCTGGGATTGCCTCGACTAATATCAACTGTGCCACTACTACTAGACGTCGTCATTCGGTAGCGAGTCATCCCCATTCCCTCAATAATTCCCAGTCCATTCATGTCACAACAACAACTACAACCACAACAACTACCACTTCTATTACCATCACTACGACTGCTACGGTGACCACCACAACCACAACCGCGACAATATCCCATCAGAGAACCCTGTCGCTGCCCTTAGCTGCCGTTATTATCAATCAAATGCAATCATCTAAAAGATCAGTTTTACGCTGTATGTATTTTTATTTGGTCATACGATAAATCAGCAAAAGATTATTTGTTTCTCTTTAAGTGTCTCTGCCTCGTTGTTTCTTGTTTTCTGTTCCGCCCTCTCTTATACCTATTTCTTCATCCCTCTGATTGGATTTGAAAATCGCAGTAAAGCTCTCGGCAGACTCGAAACTATTGCTGCTTCATTATACAACCTTCTGGTCCTTCGCGAGTTCCTCGGCGTTCTGCAGTAGATATGCCGCGTCAGACGCTTCTACTCGCATGCCATGATCAGTTGCACGTTATTTCATAACAAAGTTACGCTTTGTTTCTTCCGTTTCTTCGCTACGGAAAGTGATCAGTGGAATATACTTCATACCGTATTTCCTCTGAGCAATATTTACTGCGTTACATTTATTTTTTCTCTCTTTCTTTTTTTCTCTCATTCTCTTTCCCTCCAATTGCGATACTCTTTTTTCTTGACATGCAATGCATTGCGTATCGGTTATATTATGTCTGATTTTTCCCGCGATTTTGGAATCATCTTTTTTTATCACTATCCATTGCTTGTACCCAAAATATATGTATAAATGAATAACAAACTATATACATGATTATGCATAAATATATACGAACTTATATATGGAGTCATTTGGAAATGCAAACAAACTAACCGCTGCTATGCTGGGAGGATGGATGTTTTTCAAATTTTTCTTTTTCGGACTGTAGATATCGAGACTATGTTTCTGACTAATATCGTTTTAGGTCCAAACGTGCGTGACAGAAGCGACAGCTTACCGTCAAGGGCCCGCACTACCAGTGAGAGTCATCCTACATCGGTGCAGAGTCATCCTAGGAATGCTCATTTTGTACCTCATATCCTGAGACCCCACTCAATGTATGTGAGAGGAGGCCTTTCCTATTCACCACCGATCACTTCGATGCCTACTAGTCCCGGTTCTGTAGCCTGTTCTACGGATTCCGCGGGATCATCCCTCTCGATGGACGACGGTGGTGAAAGCGCGTTAGAAGAAAGCGCGGTATCGAGATATGGACATTCGTTGACGCCTGACGAACCAGTCATATTAGAGGAGAATGGCGATGATTATGCTCCATGGTGCGTGTCGCATTCGCATAATAAATATTCGCCGAACTTTAAATCTCATTCTCCTTCGCAGGTAAGTTGGAGACTTGTATACAGTGCAGTTCTCACGTTTATAGCAACGACCTTAGGTTTAAAAGTGCACAGAGACAAGGGGAGATGTCCATTCGCGTCGCTCTGCCTGATAGTTATGGGGGCTTGGCTTCGGCACCTCCTTGTTATTGGTCGAGCCGCGAGCCTAGGTGGACTCTACCTCTGTGCACTTTGTCCCTATCTACTTAGACTGAAAACCCACATGTTGGTAGATAGCTAGTAGAGCTTTAAAAAGGAGCTTGGCGCTACCAACAGTCTACTTCCACGGGACTCGTCATCGCCAGGAAGCTACGTTGATAAGGCTTCAGTGCACTTTTAAACCTAAGGTCGTTACTATAAATCTGGAAGCTGTACTGTAGCTTAAGAATTCATTACTGATAATTTAACGTCTACAATTCATTATTTTGGCAGCAGAGTTCCTATATAGATATGTACAGTCCTGGTGGATCGAGTCCTGGTCGCGGCGGAGCCTACATGCAAATGAATTTAGGAACAGGACATTCGCATTCGCGAGGGTCATCCTTAATCGAGGAAAGCAACACTTTACCAGAGGGTTATGTACCTATGGCGCCCGTTGGAAACAACGGATACGTCGATATGGATCCTTCGCATAGTCATAACGGCCATTTTCCTGACGATATGTCGCAACACGGTGGCAGTAGCTGTTCTGTTACTTCCGGTACACCTAGTACAGACTTACGGTTCTCCGAATATCATTTGGATAAGGTCACGAGTTTTCTACCTCCTGGAGATGACTTAACTAGACCAGTCAGAGCCTACTCAATTGGTTCTCGACCAGAACCTTCGAATAGGCATCGTAAAAATAGGTACGAATTTCTATACACAACACATTTTTTTTATTTGCTTCTTAAATGGGAAGCTTCTGAAACATTACAGAAAATGTTAGTTTTTTTTCGTGATAAGACTTCAAATTCAAATTTTTATTTTTTAATCATTCTATTCTGAAACTTTATTCATTTTGTATAGCTATAAATAACTAAACTATGTAGTATGTGCAAATTGAGACGTTTTTAATTTGGGTTTATTTTACATAGACTGGATATTACTCAACAAGAAGCCAGCAGGGTACGAGCCTTCTCTGTAGGCAGTAAATCAAGAAAACCTGAGATTGGAAGATTCGCGAGTATAATAAATGCATTACCAGTGGGTTCGGATAATTCAACTTCCAGCAAATCGAATTCAGCGCCATTATTGTCCAGTTCTTGGGGACATAACTCTGGATGTTCTGTAAACTCTGAACGAATGGAGGATTTAATGGAATTGGACTTCACGAAACCTAGTATTTCTACGACTTTCAATTCATCGCCTTCGTCATATTCGCAGTCGCAATCACAGTCATATTCTTATTCTACTGCCACTGACACCAGTTCCTATGTTGATATGTCTCCCGGACAACCGCCCTTATCAACCATTGCCCCTTATGTTGATATGAGCCGCATTAATAAGGTATCTATTAATTCAATTAAACTATGATATGCAAAATGGATAAAACGCTAGTTATAAATCATTATCATCATAGCAAAATCATATAAATACTAATTATTATTTTTAGACAGTCTCCATTAAATTTTAATATTTCCACTTTTTCAGATCAATCGTAATAACAATAATAATACAATCACTGCCAATCAAAATCATAGTCACATGCATATATCATCTTCAGCTTCTACACATAAACCTATAATTACTACTTTGAAGCCGGTGGAGGAAGCAGAAACGCCATATGTAAGAATGGATGGAGTAGTTGAAGATTGGTCTCAATCCAACGCGAGTCCTAAGCAGATTTCATCGCCTATGCAAGAAGAATGTGTGCAATCAAACGGACCACCAGGTATAGAAACATATTTATGTTCTGTTACACAGTTTTGCAGATTTATATTTATAGCTGCATTTACAGTGAAGGTTAGAAAAATGTTCAATATTTTCGAAGTAAACATGATATTTTAAGAAATTATATTTCTTTACGATACAAATGATATTTCAAAAAATATTCTAAAAAATTATTTTCATTTTTAATCATTAAAATTTTGATTATTCATTTGTATATAAAAATGCAATTATTTTTTAAGATGATTAGCAAACACCACACGTGTAATCGCACGAATCGAAAGTCGAATTAAATTACAATATTATGATTATATAAAAAGTATAGGAATTGATTTTCGTTGTTTTTAAGTTTTATATAAAGTAGCAATCTTGAGTACCACTTACATATTGTCTACAAAGCAAATAAATAGTCTTATCACTCGAAACTTTATTTTATCTACCGCTATGACTACTTTTCATGATCTTCATTAATGCGTTAAGATTGTTCTTACAAAATTAACAAAACATGATTTTTTGTTTCGTAAAATCACAGTTACTTAATTAATCGTGTTTAATGAATTTCAGGCGTAACGAGGACTGCACCAGTTGATCTTCCACGACGTCCACCTGTCGATTATGTCGATATGAATTTTAAATCCAGAACAATCCTAGAACAAGATTATATGAACATGGATATGAGTAATCGAAACAATCGCAAATCAGCGCGGACAGGTAGTCGTAAGGAAAAATCACGTTCTCAGCCGATTGCAATTCAAGCAGGGAACAAACCATTAAATACACCTAACTTCTTACCCTTAAATGGAAGTCCAGAATCAGAAAGTTTAGCAAGTACACCTGCATCTCCTCCACGGGCAACTCCAACAGGTTCTTCGGCAACTATTTTCCCTTTCTCTCTGAATAGTCCTCAGTCGCCGGAAAAGTCTTTCGGCCATCAAAAAAATAACGACGAATCGTCAGAATTGAGCATAACCTCCAAAAAAGACCGAGCGATTATGGAAACCGCGAATAGAGTCAATTCTATTCCGGTGACGGAAACGAACAATAGTTTGTCGAAAGTAATCAATGATAGACCATCTAGTCCTACAGGAAAGGATAATCGAATGATATCTAATTTATTATCATCGCAAGATAATATGTTGAATTCCGTAACGAAAAACTTTTCTGATTTAAACTTGTCGAAGCCTCGTTTAATAACTGCGTCTCCTAATACCAGTCCCACGTTGTCCGGGTTTAAGACAACGGAAAGTACAACAATTGAAAAGCAGTCTTCGTCATCGAAAATACCGGAGGAAACACCGACACCTACGCCTACGGCCACGTCAAGTCCATTGGATAATGAAATTTTGGATAAATTACAGTCTGATAAAACAAACTTGCACTATGCTAGCCTTGATCTTCCTGAGACGGGAAGCACGGCGCCTGTCTCGCCAGCGACTCAAGATAGCTTCAATTACGCTGAAATTGACTTCCAAAAACTTAAGCCAAACTAAAATGCCATCTTGGATACGAATTGTAGTTGTACGGTGCAACGTGTCATAGCCTTGCTCAAGCGCAGATGAATATTACAGGACGGAGGTAGCTGAACAGGATGGATGAACGAAACTATAACAAACGTTTGTAAACAGAAAAAGAAAGACAAAAAAGGAAATATACTTCTACCTACGTAGAGGAAGCAGCCAATGTGTTTCCCATATCTCTTCCGCTTTACGTGAGCTCACGCAATACAATCGTCATCTGCTCTTGATTTAACTAGACGTGTCTTGGGATGCTGGATTGACTCGTTGTTTTGTCTGTTGTTGGAGAACGAACAGACACGGCAATCGATCGTTCTAATATTGGCCGAGTTTTATGGACGAATAGCCAGGATGTCAAATACGAACTGTACATAGTAAATTTTTTTTTTTATCCCGACCTTGAATCATGACTGTTTTATCAATCGTATAGTCCTGACTTTTCGAGAGCGAGATTAGTGCC